TCCCCAGGTGTGCACAAAAATCTGAAACCTGTAAAAAAAATATCGGGGGGATACTTAAATCCCCTAAAAGTGACAGAGCGTCCCCTGCACATGCGCAGGGAACGCTCTGCGAACTCCCTCACCGCCGCCGCCGCTTCGGAGCGGGGGGGGAAGAGAGCAGTGAGGCCCAAGCGGCTTGCGGCCGCCGGGCCTCACTTTGGAGACAAGGGGGGGAGATTGAGCCGGAGGGGGTGGAGGGGGGGTGGAGGAGACGAGGGGAACCGGTGGGATGGGGGGGAACTTACCTCCTCCTGCTGCTTCCTCCTCTTCCTGATAGGTGTGGAGCTCCCTCCCCCCCTCCCACGAGTATCGCGGGTCCCGCCCCTTGTAATATACTATTCTGCAAAAGAAATACACTAAAGTATAGAGGATTTATAGTCCTTCTTTCGGAGAATGCATATGTGAGGACTGAATGAGTTAGCATATGTTAATGGGATAGATTTATAAATAAATTTATGCAATTTATTGTTGCATGAATCTTTGTTAGCCTAGATCCTACTTTGCACAGATGCAGGAAGTGTTATTCTTTGCTGGCAGTCATTTAAGTAGATGCAATCTGTGACATGTCTATACAAACTCAGAACTTGGCAATCCAAGCATGGTGACCAGTCGGAGAGTAAGAACATAAGAACATAAGAGACGCCAATGTTGGATCAGGCCAAAGGCCCATCCAGTCCAACACTCTGTGTCACACAGTGGCCAGAAATACCAGTGCCATCAGGAGGTCCAGCAGTGGGGCCAGGACATTAGAAGCCCTCCCACTGTTGACCCCCCCCCAAGCACCAAGAAGACAGAGCATCACTTGCCCCAGAGCCCCTAGCTATACCTTGTGGCTAATAGCCACTGATGGACCTCTGCTCCATATGCTTATCTAATTCCCTTTTGAAGCCGTCCATGCTTGTAGCCGCCACCACTTCCTGTGGCAGTGAATTCCATGTGTTAATCACTCTTTGGGTGAAGAAGTACTTCCTTTTATCCGTTCTAACCCGACCGCTCTGCAGTTTCATGGAGTGCCCACGAGTTCTTGTATTGTGAGAAAGGGAGAAAAGTACCTCTTTCTTTACCTGCTCTTTCCCATGCATAATCTTATAAACCTCGATCATGTCACCCCTCAGTCGTCTTTTCTCCAAGCTAAAGAGCCCTAAGCGCTTTAACCTTTCCTCATAGGGAAAGTGTTCCAACCCTTTTATCATTCGAGTTGCCCTTTTCTGCACTTTTTCCAAAGCTATAATATCCTTTTTAAGGTGTGGTGCCCAGAACTGCACACAGTATTCCAAATGAGGTCTCACCATTGATTTATATAGGGGCATTATTATATTGGCTGATCTGTTTTCAATACCCTTCCTAATAATCCCCAGCATAGCATTGGCCTTCTTTATTGCAGTCACACACTGTCTCGACATTTTCAGTGAGTTATCCACTACGACTCCAAGATCTCTCTCTTGATCAGTCTCTGCCACTTCAGACCCCATCAATGTGTATTTATATTTAGGATTTTTGGCTCCAATGTGCATCACCTTGCACTTGGCCACATTGAACCCCATTTGCCATGTTGACGCCACTCGCCCATCCTTGACAGATCCCTTTGGAGTGCCTCACAATCCTCACTGGTTTTCACCACCCTGAACAACTTTGTATCATCCGCAAATTTAGCCACTTCACTGCTTACTCCCATCTCCAAATCATTAATGAACAAGTTAAAAAGCAGTGGACCAAGTACTGATCCCTGCGGTACCCCACTGCTTACCACCCTCCACTGAGAAAATTGCCCATTTATACTCACTCTCTGTTTTCTATTAATTAGCCAGTTTTTGATCCATAAAAGGACTTGTCCTTCTATCCCATGATTTTTGAGCTTACTTAGGAGCCTTTGATGAGGAACTTTATCAAAAGCTTTCTGGAAGTCAAGGTAAACAATATCTATTGGATCCCCCTTGTCCACATGTTTGTTCACCCCCTCAAAGAACACTAACAGGTTAGTGAGACAAGATCTTCCCTTACAGAAACCGTGCTGAGTCTGCCTCAATAGGTTTTGTTCATCTATGTGCCTACTAATTCTTTCCTTAATAATGGTTTCCACCAATTTACCCTAGATAAGCTAGATAAGTTAACTTGCAGTGGAAGAGAGACCCCCAGTCTTGATTCAGTTCTAAATGAACAGCACCAGACATTCCAGTCTTGTGGCACCTAAAAGGTTAACAGACGTTTTCATAGGCCCAGAGCCCCATCAGGTCTTACATGTTTTGTAGGGTCACCAACCTCCAGGTTGCACCTGGAGCTATCCTGCTATTACAGTTGATCTCCAGATGACCAAGATCAATTCCCCTGGAGAAAATGGCTGCATTGGAAGGTGGGATCTATGGCAATATACCCTGCTGAGGTCCCCCCCCTCCCAGACCCTGACCTCCCCAAGCGCCACCCCCCAAATCTCCAGTTATTTCCAAACCCAGAGCTGGCAACCCTATGGGCTTCTGGCCAAGACCCAGATTTACTATCCTTCTTCTGTGATTAAAACCTTTCATTTAATCAAACTAAATATTGCATACACATACACAAAATGTTGGCACTCTGGCTCTCCCATTGGCTGTGCTGTGCACTCCATCAGCCATTGGCCCATCAACTGCCACTCAAGAGTACTTGTGTGCCATTGGCTGAGTGCTGGATCTGCTCCTCTCCCTCACTGCTGGCTTGTCCATTCCCTGTCGAAATAAACTGCCAAAACTGCTGTGTGGCTCACTTTCCCCTCAGTGGCTGTTGCTAGGCAACCAAGCTTGGTTCTGTCAGTAAAAAGGCAGGGGCTGGAGGCCCTTTCCAGGCCTACTTTGGCCTTTGTGGGGAGCTTATTGGGGCTAGTCCTGACTAAGGTTGCCCGTTCCAAGTTGGGAAATTCCTGGAGATTTTGTGGTGGAGTCTATAGAAGCCAGAGTTTGGGGAGGGGAGAGGCCTCAGCTGAATAGAATGCCATAAAGTCCATCCTCCAAAGCAGTTGTTTTCTCCAGGGGGAGACCTAGGTTCATGCTGTGGAAGCTGAGTGGGTGATTTCAGACTACTCACAGACTTTCAGCCTAACCTGCCTCACAGGTTTAAAAGGAGAGGAGAATGATGTAAGCTGCTTTGGTCCCCACTGCAGAGAAAGACTGTATGTTTTCTCCTGGGGAATCATTGTTGCCAATCTCCAGGTGAAGGCTGGAGATAACTCAGAATTATAACTGCTCTTCAGATGGTAGAGATCAGTTCCCCTGGAGAAAATGGAGGACTCTGTCATTATACCTTGCTGAGGTCACCACAGCAAATTGATGCTGAGTGCCCAAGGCCAGGGCACCCACCCAGAGCCTCTTTCTAGAGCTTGTTGTATTTATTTCCACAACAGACCTTATTCCTAGTGTGTGTGTGTGTGTGTATTCTGTGATTTTTAGCCCTTGCATGATTGCAATTCAAATTACTGAATTTCTTAATCTTTTCATAATATAAAATTGAATTTTTACTAAACTTGACAGGTGCTTGAGCACTGTAAATAATTCCAGTGTTTGGTACCCCTTGGCAAGAACAATGGGAGGTGGGAAACGAGTTTCTCTCTTACTGTGCAACTAGCTAGCCTTTTTCTTTTTTCCTTGTATCGCTATAAATAAAAGGGCCTGCAATTTTGTTAATGAAAATTGGAAATGTGGGGAAGGGGTCTGAGATATCTCTGAAGGGGGCCCCTGTAGCAGTCCTAGCCGTGGCTACAAAAAACAATCCAAAAGCCAAGGTCAAAAAGTGCCATTATTATTGAATGAGTAATTCCTGACACGTTCCGGTGGTTTTCATCAAGGGAATTTATTCAGCAGTTCCGCTCAGCAACAAATTGCATCTCTTTCTAATATAAAATACGCAGAGGAGCTGTGATCACAGGCGCGGCCGCTGTACGTGTGTTAATGTTAGAAGGCGATGCAATTCGTGCACGGTTTCTGCTAAATAAATCCCTCTGGGGAAGAAAACCGAAACGCAGCAGGATATTCCGTCAAAACTGCACTTTTCTCAGTTTTGCCTTTTCCCAATAATCGGTGCAGTTCATGTTGTCATTTGCTGAAGTTTATGATACAGCCTTTTTATAACATCCACGCGTGGGGTGGACTGGGATGCAAAAACAGCCCGGAAACAAGCTAAGCTGAGGCCCTTGCACTACCAGCTGCACTCCGGGGACCGCTTGCTCTGGCCTGGCAACGTTGACGGGTGTGTGTCCACCTGTTAACCTGTTCCTATGCTGTGCGGTGTAGGAATAAGCAAGAGGCAAGTTGACACCTGTTGAGGTTGCCACTGGCTGGGTCTGGACCAATCAGACCCTGCAGTGCCATATGCTGAGCTTGGGAATTTTTCAGGGATATTGAAGGCCCAATCTACCCTCAATTGCACACCCTCCTTGCTGTCTTTCTGCAGGTTCAAGGGCAGCCGGAAGGACGAAATCCTGGGCATTGCCAATAACCGCCTGATCCGCATTGACCTGGCTGTCGGGGACGTGGTGAAGACGTGGCGATACAGCAACATGCGCCAGTGGAATGTCAACTGGGATATCCGCCAGGTCAGCCCATGCAGCAAGTTGGGAAGCGGTTTCCAGTGTTTTGAGTTCCCAGTACCAGCCCTGAGTGGGTCTTTGACCCTTCCCCCCCAACCCCCATTATTATTTTTTATTAAATAAGAAGCACGGAAGATTGCAGCTGTATGTCATTATGCATTGTATAGTCCATAAATAATGTTTTGGTGAAATAGATTATTCCCTTTTCTGTAATGAATTGCATCTATGAATTTATTCATGTGTACAATTTCTAAGCTGTTCCTTTCGAAGTTGAGGCAATGGATCATTTCTGTTTTAGCTGCCAGCAATAAACCTCTATCAATAATGTTTTTGTTCCTGGGGAAAAAAGCATTCTCTTGGATCTATAACTCTGAAATGAGAAAGTTCCTATTAATGGAGGACATATTTCATTTTTGTATCTGACTTGCTTTAAGACTGTTATATGGAAAGAAAACCTCCAGCCTACATATCAAGCACCAATTTTGCATTTATGGATCCAGAATGTTTCACATGCATCATTTCAGCAGTCTGTGCAACATACTTGTAAGGTCTATCAGCATTATCATCAAACACACATGGACACACATGAAGCTGCCTTATACCGAATCAGGCCCTTGGTCCATCTAGGTCGACTATCGTCTACTCCGGCTGGCAGCGGCTCTCCAGGGTCTCAGGCTGAGGTCTTTCCCATCACCTACTGCCTGGTCCTTTTAATGGGAGAAGCTGGGGGTTGAACCTAGGACTTTCTGCATGCAAAGCATTGGTAGGCTGAGGCTAAATAGTATTAGATTGCCTACAGCCACTCAAAACAGTCATAGCAGAATTAGTGCTAGTAAACCCATATCTGAGCTGCACTGTTTCAGACTGAATCTGGGGTTCGCATGAACAGGGCTCTAGTCGGGGGGGAGCTCTCAGGTACGGAGCTCCGGAAGAGAACCTCTAGGGGGCGGGGCGGTCACGTGGTGAAGCCCCGCCCTCTTCTTTACCCCGCCCTCTGCTTCGATCCTCATTCCGTTTGGGAATGAGGATGAAGCAGGAGGGTAAGTAGCCGGGCCTTCTGACACACTTCCGGTGATGTCAGGGGGTGTGGCCTTCTGTCACTTCCGGTGATGTCAGGGGGCGTGGCATATGCAAATAAGTTATGCTAATGAGTTATGCTAATGAGCTCCGGCAGCTCTTTTTCTACAACAAGACCCCTGCGCATGAATGCTTCTCCATATGAAAATATCACCCTGCTTGTAGAAGATTACGTAGCATGTCGGCAAAAAGAGTTCTAGTCCCGCCTTCTCCCTGACATACTCGCTTTCTGTGTCCAGGGGATTTTGTGTGTGTGTAGGGATTTGAGCTGGGGACTTACTAATTCATTCAAGGTGGTAAACAAACCCAGGGACCCTCTAGTCCAGCAGCCTGTATCCAATAGCAGCCAATCAAATAATTCCCAGAATCCACAAGCAGAGTATGATGGCCACAACTTTACCTTGTTCTCTGTGAAGCAGCATTTGGTATTCAGAAGTAGACTACCTTTGAACGTGGAGGCTCCATTTAAGTATCACGATTGTCAAGACGAGCTCACAGGAAATGGGCCCAAGCCTCTTTTCAAGGCATCTAAGCCAGTGGCCATGACCATATCCTGTTAATTATGGGTGATGCAAAATACCTTTGTCCCTCCGGCTCTCCTCTGAAACAAGGGTTTAGGGTTTCAGTGGGTTAACCTTCAAGAAGTTCTCATGTCTTGAGAAAGGAAATTTATCCCTCCGCTTCTTCCAAACCGTTTTATAAGCCTCTATCGTGCCCACTGGCCTTTTTTTTAAACTTCACCCACCCCCATACCCCAAACACTATTTAGACCTTGCCTTTTCCCCCAATGGAGATCCAATGCAGCTTACCTCATTCTGCTCCCCTCCGCTTCACTCTCACAGTGAGCCTGTGAGGTAGGTTAGGCTGAGAGCGTGGGTTCAGCCCAACGTCACCCAGCAAGCTTCCACTGCAGAACAAGGATTTAAACCTGGGTCTCTCAGATCCCAGTCTGACTGTAGGTTAGATCCTGAAGCAGGCCCGTAGCTAATGTGAGGCCCACGGGGCCTGGCCCCCTAGTGTTTCTATTGGGCCCCTCCCTCCCAGGCTGGCCCCAAATTGAATAAATGTAATTAACTTCGATTTAATTAGCTGCATCTCCCCGAGGCCCCCTCCTGAAAAAAATCCCTAGCTACGGGGTTGTCCTGAAGGCTTGTTCTACTAATGGTGGCGTTCAAGCCATGTCCTGGAGCAGGAGTCCCTAACATGGTGCCTGTGGTTGCCATGGTGCCAGCCAATACCTTTCTGGGCATCCTCCAAATGTTTTCAGGAAGTGGGTAGGGTCACTGCTGGTGGTAGGGTCAGGTAGAGCTTTTGCCCAGCAAGGTTTCTGATTGGCTGTGCAGATTTTTCAAAATGTTGCTTTGGCAGCAGCTGTTACCACAGCCCAAGGATCTACGCTGTGTGACTGAAGTTAAGCTGCGGCAGGTATTTTGTGGCAGCCATTTTGCTGCTGTGGCCACCATGCTGTCTCAGAATTCTAAAGGTGCCAGCAGGCTCAAAAAGGTTGGGGACCCCTCCTCTGGGGGAAGGCACCACTATGAAAAAGACAGATCCATCCCTTCAGCCTAGTCCTTCTAGGGAAGATGCTCCACTGAGAGCAAGTCTGGTGTAGTGGTTAAGAGTGACAGACTGTAATCTGGGAGAACCGGGTTAAATTCCCCACTCCTCCACATGCAGCTGGTGGTGTGACCTTGGGTCAGTCACAAGTTCTTTCAGAGCTGTTATCTCAGGAGCAGTTCTTGAGAGAGCTCTCTCAGCCCCACCTGCCTCACAGGGTGTCTGTTGTGGGGAAGGGAAAGGAGATTGTAAGCCGGTCTGAGACTCTTTCGGGTAGTGAGGGGCGGGGTATACATCCCATCTCTTCTCTCCTTCTCTTCTTCCAACCCCATAATCACCTTGTGCTTGCCCTCCTTCCCCAGGTCGCCATTGAGTTCGATGAACACATCAACGTGGCATTCAGCTGCATCTCTGCCAGCTGCAAGACGGTGCACGAATATATCGGTGGCTACATCTTCCTGTCGACCCGCACGGCCGACAGTGGCCAGGAGCTGAAAGAAGACCTCTTCCACAAGCTGACGGGAGGCCACGAAGCCCTCTGACCTGGCACCACCCAGCCTAACCTTCTCCCCTGGAGCCATATGGGCAGGCCTGCCTCCTCAAGCAGCTGTCTGGCCAGTGCTGATGGGAACCTGAGGCGTCCCCTAAGGACTTGATAAGCCAAGCTACACCTGACGCTGGAGGCCGGGGATCAGATTTCCACCCTTCATTAGCTTCTGAAAGCATCTCTGTGGGGTCTCTGGGATGGCAGGAGAAGGTGACTCTCCCCTACAGTTGCCAACTTCCAGGTGAGGCCTGGAGTCCCCCCTGAATCACAACCAATCTCCAGACCACAGAGATCGGTTCCCCTGGAAGAAATGGCGGTTCAGAGGCTGGGCTCTATGGAATCATGTCCCTGCTGAGTTCCGTCCCCTCCCCAGGGTTCACCCCCAAATCTCTGGGAATTTTCCAATCCGGAGTTGGCAACTCTGTAATCTTCCCCCCACTCCCAAAAGCACTATTCTCGAAACAGGCACAACCACAACCCGTGCCACTTTTTGCCTTGTTAAGGGGAAAAAGAAAGTCCTGGGAGTGTGTGTGTGTCTCCCCCCCCCCATATTAGGGCTAGAAGCAGGTGGGGGGCAGTTTCAGGGAAACAGCATGGGGGGGGGAGTTGGCCCTCCTCGTGGGTTCCTCTGCAGCCGCTTGTGAATTTCCCACTGGCAGATTTGATTCCCCCGGGGCCTTGGGTAGTTTGGCTGAAGGAAAAGAGGGAGTCTGGGCTACATAAGGAAGGGATTGATAGGAAGGTGGTAGCTGGGGACTGCCCATCTTATTTTAACAGTATTGGAGTTTTCAAAGTCTGTTTTATTGAAGGGCCCCTCATATGGGTGTTGCTTTTTGTTTTCTTATCTGCCCCGAAGAGCTATAAATAAAAATGTCCTTCCTGATTCCCGGTGATGTATCCTCGTCTTTTTCTCTCGCTTTGCTGTGACTTAGAATGTCACCGTAAAATATCCTTTAATCACAGTTTGGAGAATTTCTCATCACACATTTCAGAGTGGCCTTGATCCCCCCCCCCTTTTATTTGGTGAGGTTCTGTTCCTCATTTCCCAGAGACTATTATTTCTCTAGCCCAAACGAGGTGCTTATTTCTAAGAACTGCATCTGAACCAGACAAAAAGTCCACGTACCAGTATGCCATCTTCCACTCTGGCCAATCAGGAGTCTCCAGAAAATTTATAAATGTGGCAAAAAGGCCTAGAGCAAGGGACCCCAACGACACTCCCTCTAAGCTGTGGAGTCCTGTGAGCAAAAATTCTGCTTTGTGAGCTACTAGCATGAAAGTTGTGAGCGAGCGATTTGGCTGCTGCATGAATTAGTTTGCTCTGGAGCCCTCCTTCCCAAGCTAAGACAAAAATGAGGCTAAAAAACTGTGAGCTAGCTCACAATAACTCAGCTTAGAGGGAACACTGGTCCCCAACCTTTTTGAGCCTGTGGGCACCTTTGGAATTCTGACACAGCGTGGTGGGCACAGCGACAAAATGGCTGCCGCAGGAGACAGAGCCAGTCACAAAATGGCTGCCACACCTAGGGCTGCCAAATGCCCCCGGGGGGCGGAATTCCCCCCACTTTCGAGCCCCAATTTCCGCTCCCGTGGAATCGGGGCCCGGGGAAAACCCCACCCCCGCGTACGCGTCACCCGGAAGTGACGTCGCACGCTGGGGGCGGGGCCACGCCATTTGAGGGGAAAACAAAGAGTTTCCCCCTCAAATGGCGTGGCCCCGCCCCCAGCATGCGACGTCACTTCCAGGTGATGTGCACGCGGTGCGCGCTATGCGCGCGCGTACACACCTAAGACGCCAGCCGGGAGCCCCCCGCCAGAAACATTTGGCAACCCTAGCCACACCTTACCTTCAGTAACACTTAAAATCCTTGCGTTGTGGTGGCAGCTGCAGCAATGTTTTGTGTTTTTTTTACATCTGCATGGCCAATCAGAAGCTTTGCTGGACAAAAGTTCCACCTGGCCCCGCCCACTTTCTAAAAAGACACCTTCCTCTTGCTGATTGTTCCCTGGTGGTGGTGGAAAGTGCCGTCAAGTCACAGCTGACTTATGGCAACTCCGCAGGGTTCTCAAGGCAAGAGGTGTCCAGAGGTGGTTTGCCATGGCCTGCCTCTCCACCACGACCCTGGTATTCTCTGGAGGTCTCCCGTCCAAATACCGGCCAGGGCCAACCTGGCTTAGCTTCCGAGATCTGACAAGATCAGGCTAGCCTGGTCTATCCAGGTCAGAGTATTCATTAGGGATTGTTCCCTAGTAGCTGGATCAGAGGTAATCTGCCTCTGGACATGGAGGTTTCCATTTCACCATCTTGGCTAAGAGCCATTGGTAGACCTCTCCCCTCCAGGGCTCCCTCTCAGCTGTGGAGTCCTGTGAGCAAAAATTCGACTTTGTGAGCTCCTGGCATCGAAGTTGTGAGCGAGTGATTTGGCTGCTGCATGAATTAGTTTGCTCTGGAGCCGTCCTGCCTGAGTTAAGACAAAGATGTGTGAGCCAGAGGCTAAAAAAAATGTGAGCTGGCTCACACTAACTCAGCTTAGAGGGAACACCACTCCCCTCCCCCCTGCATTTGTCTAGTTTCCTTCTTAAAATACTTTAAGCTAGAGGCCATCAACAAACCTTGAGTCTGTGAAGTCTGTAAACAGATGATGCTTTTGTGTACAGAAGTACTTTCTTTTGTCTGCCTTGAACCTACAGCCCAGCCAGTATCATTGGGTGACTTTGAGTTCTAGTATTATGGAAGAAAAAGTTCTCCTCCCCCCCCCCAATATGAGACATACTTTTATAAACCCCAATCATGCCCCCCCTTAATTATCTTTAAAGCCCCAAACGTTTTAGCCTTTCCCTAGAGAGAAGATGCTCCAGCCCCTCAACAATTTGGGTTCCCATTCTCTGGATCTTTTCCATCTCTGGGGCAGCCATAACTGTACAAAGTGAGCCAGACCAGGGGGATCATAGAGTCACAGAGTTGGAAGGGGCCACACGGGCCATCTAGCCCAACCCCCCTGCTCAATGCAGGATCAGCTGTGGAGTCTTGTGATAGCCCGATAGTCTGTTCCGTTGCCTCCATAGCCACGGGGCCACCGGTAGCTGCAGGTGCTTCTGTCTGGGGACAGGGAAGCCAGTTCTGTGCAGCTGCTGGTCCTTTAGTGGCTGGCACAGATCTCCCATCTGTTGACTAAAGGTCGAGGACAGGCAAAAGCCAGGAGGTTCTCCAGCCCAGACTGGGAGGCAGGTGCTGCACACAGAAAAATAAAGTGCACATAAAAAGGTAAAGGTTCCCTTGCTCGAAAGCCAGTCGACTCCAACTCTAGGGTTGCGGTGCTCATCTCCGTTTCAAAGCCGAAGAGCCAGCGCTGTCCGAAGACGTTTCCATGGTCATGTGGCCGGCATGACTAAACACCAAGGCGCACGGAACGTTGTTACCTTCCCACCAAAGTGGTACCTATTTATCTATTTGCAATCTCTTGCTTTCGAACTGCTAGGTTGGCAGGAGCTGGAACTAGAGATGGGAGCTCACTCCGTCATGCGGCACCCGGGTCTCGAACTGCTGAACTACTGACCTTCCACAGCCTGCAGTTCAGCGTCTTAACCACTTGAGCCACCGCAGCTCCAAAAAAAAAAAGTGCACATACTAGATTTAAATAGTGAAGTTTACTGCTTAAGTAATAAATAACATGCACACACCATAAACTAGTATCTCACGGGGGAGATGAGGTAGAAGAGGACAATCTTGGTGTGGTGATGGGTTACTCAAGAGGAAGCCGGCATCCTGCAGAGGAAGAAAACAAAGGGTGAGAAGTTAGGTGTTACTCAATGGCCTCAGGGAAAAAAAACACCACCCTTGCTCTAGGCCTTTGTGCCACATGTACAAAATGAACACATCGATCTGCTGGAGACTGAGTCAGACCCTTCGGTTGACGGAGGTCAGGGTGGCCTCCTCTGACTAGCAGTTTTCTCCCCACAACTGCAGGCTGAGGTAGAAGAGGACAATCCTGGTGTGCCCTGATCTGGATAGCCCAGGTTAGCCCGATCTCGTCAGATCTCGGAAGCTAAGCAGGGTTGACCAGTATTTGGATCGGCGACTTCCAAGGAATACCAGGGTCATGATGCAGAGGCACGCAATGGCAAAACCAACTCTGAAACGTCTCTTGCCTTAAAAACAAGTCTAGCTCGCCACCTAGTGGTGCGTAACACCAAAGAGCTAGGTGACATGATTGAGGTTTATAAGATTATGCATGGGAAAGAGCAGGTAGAGAAAGAGGCACTTTTCTCCCTTTCTCACAATACAAGAACTCTGGTGGGCACTCCATGAAATTGCTGAGCGGTCGGGTTAGAACGGATAAAAGGAAGTACTTCTTCACCCAAAGAGTGATTAACACTTGGAATTCACTGCCACAGGAGGTGGTGGCGGCTACAAGCATGGACGGCTTCAAAAGGGAATTAGATAAGCATATGGAGCAGAGGTCCATCAGTGGCTATTAGCCACAAGGTATAGATAGGGGCTCTGGGGCAAGTGATGCTCTGTCATCTTGGTGCTTGGGGGGGGGGTCAACAGTGGGAGGGCTTCTAATGTCCTGGCCCCACTGCTGGACCTCCTGATGGCACTGGTATTTCTGGCCACTGTGTGATACAGAGTGTTGGACTGGATGGGCCTTTGGCCTGATCCAACATTGGCATCTCTTATGTTCTTATGTTCTTATGTTCTGCCTGCCAGACAAGCTTAGGATCTCCTGGCTATACTACACACAATGCCATACGATGAGGAGGAGGAGGAGGAAGGCTGAGGTCCTTCACATCACCTCCTCCCCGATCCTTTAAACTGGAGATTGATTTATTTAGATTTTAAACTGCCCTCACCCAAAAGACAGGGCTCAGGGCGGTGTACAACACAATGCATAAGTACGTCATTAGAATACATCCGTAAAATCAACAACACAGTAGAGAACCTAAAGATGGCGCTACAATTTTTAATGGTGCCACTGTCCCATGGGGAAGTAGGGAAGTGGGAGTGCCAGGAAGAGGAGACCATCGCTGCCCTCGGCCAAAAGCCTGGCGGAACCTCTCTGCCTCACAGGCCCTGAGAAACTGCATCAGGTCCCACAGGGCACAGATGTTATTCAGCAGAGAGTTCCACCAGAAAACACCCTGGCTGTGGTTGAGGACAGCTGGACATCTCTCGGGCCGGGGACCACCAACACATGTTGATCCTAGTCTCTAGGATGCTACTGGACTCAAATCTAACTATATCCTATTAGCATACCTGTACTAGCATGAAGGGTTATTAGATCCTTGAGGGGACTATACAGCTTTGTGAAGAAGGTGCTCAGGATAGCCAGGACTGGATTTTTTTGGGGGGGGAGAATCTTGGGGCATCCAGATGTTATGGAAGTTTTTGTGCTAGACCATGCTTCATCAACAGCATGAGATCCGACTGGGTGCAGCTGTACTTTCCAATGCAATCTCACACACCTCCGTTCTGGGAAAGTGGGTAGTCTTATCTCTCTTTGTAACGACGACCCCTCCCTTTCTGAAGCTTCGGCTCTAATTCACAGAAACGTCTGCTAACAGCAAAGTTGTTCGTTTGAAAGGTGCCACAAGACACTTAGTTGGGTCTGCAGCAGACCAACGCAGCCACCCATCTGGAACTTTGCAGTAAATCTGTTAATTTTTCTTTGGCTCCATCCAGATAACATGGCTACTCCTCCAGAAGGTGGCTTCTGGGTATTTGTTGATAATTTATTGCACTGTTTTTTGAGCTGCGGTGGCTCAAGTGGTTAAGATGCTGAACTGCAGGCTGTGGAAGGTCGGTAGTTCAGCGGTTCGAGACCCGAGTGTGCCGCATGATGGAGTGAGCTCCCGTCTCTAGTTCCAGCTCCTGCCAGCCTAGCAGTTCGAAAGCAAGAAATTGCAAGTAGATAAATAGGTACCGCTTCGGTGGGAAGGTAACAGCGTTCCGTGGGCCTTGGTGTTTAGTCATGCCGGCCACATGACCACGGAAATGTCTTCGGACAGCGCTGGCTCTTCGGCTTTGAAACGGAGATGAGCCCCGCAACCCTAGAGTCGGACTCGACTGGCTTTCGAGCAAGGGAACCTTTACCTTTTTTTTGAGAATAAGTTCCCCCAGAACTGAGATATTATCATGCACTCCCACTTACAGTGATAACATTTCCAGAAATTTTGAAGCTATAGGGAAATTTTGAAGCTATAGGTTTTGGCAAGAACTGTGGGGATTTGCAGTGTCAGAGGATGGAAACTGGTAGGGAGAGGGGAACAGGATTTGGGCTTTATCTCCGATTCTGGTGAAAGGCAGTCCGGGTAAAAGAGGGCGACAGCAGATCTGACTCTGTAGCATTGACTCATTGTGGCCTCGGGCAAGTCGCTTTTGGGCCCTATGTGGCATCCACCCCACTCCAAATGGATCAAACCCTCAAGCAGGGCAAGCGAGAGAAGCCAGCTGGGAACTCACGAATGGGCCGGAGCTGCAGGGCTTCCCGGAAGTAGCAGGGGGGCAGCAGCCCACTGGCATCGCCGGGTGTGAGGAGGACGCCGTTGGCGGAGCGGTAAAAAGCGATTCCGTCTGCAGGAGAAGAAACCAGGCCTGTGGCATTTACATACAGAACAACCACCCTTCCCGGCCCCGGAAAGTGGTGCGACAGAAACCCCGGATTTCCCATCCTCTTATTTTCAACCTGAGTTTGGCTGGTCTGAAGAATCATTCCTGGAACCCAGGATACCTGTGTTCTATTCCCCATTCCCCAACAGAATGCAGCAGAACGGACCTCCTCTCAGAGGAACCTGTCGGTTGCATCTCTGCATGAGTCTTGGTCCCAGGCTAGCTTGAACACAGGAAACGGCTTCATAATGAATCAGACCCCTGGGACTCCATCAAAGTCTATTCAGACTGGGAGCAGCTCTCCAGGTTCTCAGGCAGAGGTCTTTCCCATCACCTACTACCTGATGCTTTAACTGGAGATGCCGGGGATTGAACCTGGGGCCTTCGGCATGCCAAGCAGAGGCTCACTCGTTCTGTGAGCCACAGCCCCTCCCCTTTCCAACCAAGAGGCACACCCAGATCGGTGATCCCCGCAAAAGCACACAGTTGAAGAAAATGTTACCCTTATGCACTCTAAAAGTTAAACCGCCTTGGGTATAACAGTGCACTGCGCCTCCCATTTCAATTTATTAAAAAATTCAGCTATCCAGAATTTGAGAATCTCTGTTGGACCTGGGTTCAAATCCAGCCCTGAAACTCACTGACTTGAAGGAACTGGGGCCACCCATTATTTCGAAAGCCTATATTTACCTTTCTGGCTTGCTGCAAAGATACGACAGGATGAGAAAACAAAGGCTTGTTAGGGCTTTCAAAGGGTGAGAATAAAGGCCTTGGCTACAAACAGTCACCTACCCCATATCTCTTTGGACCGGGGGGAAGGGTTCTCTTCTTCCTCCTCACTCACCTGCCAGAGCTTTGGCTACATTAATGGTTATGGCCACCTCACAGTTGTTCCTCATTCCTGCAGAGCAAAAAAACCACATAACAGTCTGTCAGATATGGCTCCCATTTTGATGAGGACAAAAATAAGAGGGTCAGGAAGGAAAAGCCCCCCCCCATTCAGTGGAATGAGCAATCAGGGTGCTGCTGTGACAGGGAATGGGCTATACTACTTCACTCTGCAAGGGTGGGATTACTTTTTCCCCAAAGTTCCCCTCCACTGATAATACCTTGTAAGTGGAAAACTAACATGGAATGCCAAGAGCTAGACTAGAACACAGACATTTTTTTTCCCCTCTGCTGGGAGTTTTTACATGAGGAAGTAGTGTAGTGTAGTGGTTAAGTGCGCGGACTCTCTGGGAGAACCAGGTTTGATTCCCCACTCCTCCACTTGCACCTGGCTGGATGACCTTGGGCAAGCTGTAGCTCTGATAAGAGCTGTTCTTGAAAAAGGGCAGTTTCTGTCAAGAGCTCTCTCAGCCCCGCCTACCTCACAGGGTGTCTGTTGTGGGGAGGGGAAGGGAAAGGAGTTTGTAAGCCTCTCTGAGACACCTTTGGGTAGTGACGGGTGGGGTATAAATCCAATCTCTTCTTCATCTCTTCTTCTTAAAACTGTGACTCTCCCCAACCCCCAGTCTGAAGTAGCACAGCCTGTTTCTACCACCTCAGGCCAGGTTCACACACGCTGGGAAATGACCCCACACCCTGTGGCTCCAAAGGATGAGCCTGAGAGGCTACTCTGAACAAAAATAGTTCAAACAGTCCAAAGCTGAAGAGGAAAGGAAGCTTTCCTAGCTCTCTCCAGAAGAACGTCCCAAAAACAAGAAGCGGCGGCCACGGCAAAATGGCGTCTTTTGTACTTCAGTAGATAGTCTGAGGGGAGAAAGTGTTCAAGAATGGCTCCCCTCTGGGTTGATGCCATCTGGCACTGGGGTGGACAGGGAAAGAGGCATCCCTTCAGGGATCCTGAAGAAATTCAGTGGACCAGGGCCGGGTTTCCACCTGGGACCTGTGTGTTGTTCTCGGTTGGCCATTACAGGGTTATCGGCTTCCCCTTCATGGTGGTGGGAAGTGCCACCAAGCTGCAGCCGACTTACAGCAACCCTGTAGGGTTTTCCAGGCAAGGGATGAACAGAGGTGGTTTGCCATCGCCCGCCTCTGCGTAGCCACCCTGGACTTCCTCAGTGGTCTCCCCTCCAAGCGCTAACCAGGGCCGACTCTGCTTAGCTTCCAAGATTGGACGAGGTTAGGCTAGGCTGGGCCATCCAGCTCAGGGCACGAGGAGGAAGGAAGACTCACCGCTCAGGACAGCCCCGTCCCCAGGCAATCCCGGCGCCAAGTGGATGTGGGCTCTCCCCATCCGGGACAAGCCCTTACTCCGTATTGCTGGCCAGTGGCGCAGATACGTGCCGTGGGCCACAGTCTCCGGGAAGTCGGCAGGGTCCAGCAAAGGGATCAGTTCCAATTCAGATACCTGCAGCAAGGAATCATGGTCAGAAGGACATGTTGCGAATCACCGCCTAACTCTGGCTTCCCCCTACTTTTATTTTTATTTATTTAATTAATTACATTTTTGATTCGCCTAATCCTCACGACTGTGGGGCTCTGGCCATGTAGAGTAAAAACAATAACAGCCATAAAATCATTGCCAGCACATCGGTAGAAGGTAAAGGTTTCCCTTGCTCGAAAGCCAGCCGAATCCGACTCTAGGGGTGCGGTGCTCATCTCTGTTTCCAAGCCAATGAGCCAGCGCTGTCCAAAGATGTTTCCATGGTCATGTGGCTGGCATGACTAGACACCGAGGCACATGGAACGCTGTTATCTTCACACCAAAGCAGTGCCTATTTGTCTACTTGCAGTTTCTTGCTTTCGAACTGCTAGTTTGGCAGGAGCTGGGGCCGGAGACGGGCGCTCACTCCGTCATGCGGCACACTCGGGTCTCGAACTGCCGAACTACAGACCTTCCAGTCTGCAGCTTCAGCGTCCTAACCTCTGAGCCACCACAGCCCCTTTCTAACACTTATAATGCACTAATTAAAATCAAGTGGCAAGGTTTTAAGGTTCCCTCCCATTTCCGGTCTATGGGTACCTCATGGGTATTGAAGAAGAAGAAGAAGAGATTGGATTTATGCCCCGCCCTTCACTTGGAGTCTCCTTTCCCTTCTCCTCCCCACAACAGACACCCTGTGAGGTGGGTGGGGCTGAGAGAGCTCTGACACAAACTGCTCTTTTTCAAGGACAGCTGTGCCAGGGCTTGTGACTGACCCAAGGTCACATCAGCAGCTGCATGTGGAGGAGTGGGGAATCAAACCCGGTTCTCCCAGATTAGAGTCCGCGCACTTAACCACTACACCAAACTGGAGGGGGGAATGAAATCCTTCAAGGGACAGAGGTCCAGGAAAAGTGCCAGTCATGACGTAAGCCATCACTGTCCTCAACCCAATGCCTGGTGGAACATCCCTGCCTTGCACAAGATCCCACAGGGCCCTGATGTTATTTGGCAGAGAGCTCCACCAGGTCGGGACCAGCTGAAAAAACCCTGGACCTGGTCGGGGACAGCCGGAGGTCTCTAGAACCAGGAGCTACGAGTAAGTTGTTCTGTGCAGACCGTAACGCTCTCCCAGGGGAGTACCGGAGGAGGTGGTCCTGCAGATATGTTGGTCCCTGACCACTCAAGGTCTTGAAGGTCAAAACCAAAACCTTCAACTTGACTCGGTGCTTCACCGGAAGCCCGTGCAGTTGGCGCAACATAGGTCGAATGCATGCAGTCCGTAATGTTCCTGTCAGGACCAATGTTCCCTCTAAGCTGTGGAGTCTTGTGAGCAAAAATTCTACTTTCTGAGCTACTGGCATTAAAGTTGTGAGCAAGTGATTTGGCTACTGTATAAATTAGTCTGCTCTGGAGCCATCCCTCCTGAGCTAAGACAAAAATGTGTGAGCCGGATGCTAAAAAACTGAGCTGGCTCACACTAACTCAGCTTAGAGGGAACATTGGTCAGGACTACCCCACCAATTGCTGCTCCCCCTTTCTGCAGCCTCCCCTTTACTTTATGCCCTGCGACTTCTGAGATGCTGAAGACAGGCTAAAGAACTGCAATTAACTAGGCAGTGAATTTAAGTGTGTGTGTGTGCGTGAGAACCTGGAGCCTTCCTCCTGCATATGTCCCCTGAAGAGCTCTATGATCATCTGAACATCATCTTCTGGCAATCCCTGGCCCAAAAGACACCTGCTTAACCTCGACCAGGGACAGAGCCTTTTCAGTTCTGGCCCCAGCCTGGTGGAACACTCTTGCACTTGAGATCAAGGCCCTGCGGGATTCACTGCCATTCCACAGGGCCTGCAAAACGAAGCTGTTCCACCAGGCCTTTGGTTGAGGTGGTGGATGCCCAATAATATCGGCCTCCCCTGCACAAACTTGCTTATGCTGGGCATTATGGCATTCCTATTTTTTTTAAATCTTTCAATTTATTAATTGCTCAATCTGGCAGAGCTTGCTGGCTCTGAGCGATTTACAGTTACTCCATTACACATGGGACTAACAATGATTCAAGGGGTAAGGGAGGACAACATATAATCTTTAAATCACACACGTTCGCAGTCGACGGGGTTTTTTGTTCAGCTGTAAGGTCAGACATGTTCCAGACGGCGATTTGGCCCACCTGTTTGAATTAGTGCCCCTTGACCCTTGCACTGTGTGCACTTGGGAGGAATGGAATTATCTGGGTCACCATCATGTTCTAAGTGTTTTAGTATTTAAGAACATAAGAACATAAGAGACGCCAATGTTGGATCAGGCCAAAGGCCCATCCCGTCCAACACTCTGTGTCACACAGTGGCCAGAAATACCAGGTGCCATCAGGAGGTCCACCAGTGGGGCCAGGACATTAGAAGCCCTCCCACTGTTGCCCCCCCCCCAAGCACCAAGAAGAAAGAGCATCACTTGCCCCAGAGCCCCTATCTAAACCTTGTGGCTAATAGCCACTGATGGACCTCTGCTCCATATGCTTATCTATTTAAATTGGTATTAGATTTTAAACGGGGCGTATAACGTTTTTATATCTATTGTTTTCTTCATGGTTCTGTCCCGCTTGCAGGCTGAGGGCGGGACAGAAATCACACAAAATAAATAAATAAATAAGCAAATGCTCTGCCCCTGAGCCCTGGTCCCCTCCGCACAGGGGTGCCCTGTCCTTACAGCCACGACTGTGTGTACTTCCATGCCAGATGAGCCGTTTTCCTCCAAGAGGAGTCAAAACTCTCATTTGTGAACAGAACGTGCTTCTGCAACTGCTTTCCATTTTGCATAACTTTTCCATTTTGCCAGTCCTGGGGAAGGAGAAGATCTCTGCGGGGCACTCCAAACCTGCTTGCAACTGCCGGAAAACTTATTTGGCCTCTGCCTTGGCTTCTAATTCTCACAAGCATACCTTCATTCCCAGAAGGCCTAGAAACTTGCCCCTTCTGAAAAGGAAAGCAGAGATTCTCCAGCATCTGAATACTACATTCAACACTATCGTCTACATGAGAAAAGCCTTTCCAGATCAGCTGAAAAGATCCGTCTAGAATAGCATCTTGTTTCCCCCAAAGTGGTCAAGCGGATGCCTCCAGAAAACCCACAAGCAAGGTATGAAGGTGATAACACTCTCCCATTGTTTTTGTTCCAGGCACCTGGCTTTTGGAGACAGACTGCTTTTGCACAGGGAGGTTTCATTTAGCCATCGTGGCTAATACCTGTTGATCAGGGCCAGCTCACCCACTAGGCGAACTAGGCATTCGCCTAGAGTGCTGGGCCCTGGATGGGGTGCCAAGCTGTGCCTCCCCCCCCCTCGCCAAAAGCCCGCAAGCAGCTCTCCAAGTGTCAGCACTTCGCTAATTGGGGAGAGGCATCCGGTGAGCATCCCCCGCCTGGAGACAGGATCCCCCCACCTCCCTCCCAAACTGCCTTCGGAAGCGGAGCACGAGAGAAATCTCTCTTCCAGCTTGGAGGGCGCTGCAGAAACATGTGGGGTGTGCTCACTGGGTCTGACAGCTGTGTGGGGGGGAGGCGGTGGCGGCGGTAGCAAAAGGGTGGCTGGCTCCAGAGGTCTCCAGGCCCCACTGGGAGGTTGGCATCTGCGCCACAAGGCAGCCTGGCCTAGGGTGCAGAAATACCTCGAGCCGGCCCTGCTGTCGATAGACCTGTCCTCCATGAACAGACAGCAGCACAGAGGTCCCCTCTGGGGACCGCTGCTGTAGCATACCCTTCTGCGCTGTGCCCTGTGGAATAACGATATTTACCTATTTATTTGTTGTTTATCATCTGCCGTCCTCACTTGGACTCAAGGTGGATTACAGAGAGTGAGTCAGCACGATCGACAGGACGGGACATTCAATGAAGAACGTAATAGAAATTTGGGTTGTAAAAACCCACCCGAAGTCTATAAAGAGAACCGCAGATCTACACACAGCCCTCTCCAGAGATTTCTCCCCTGCCTGTCTTTGATGCACGCTCTGCGTTCCCATACTCACTCACCCACCTTCAGCGAGTGGCCCTGATTGGCGCGGATCTGGGGGTGTCCGTCGGAAGGGTGCGGCCGCACGGCAAAACGCTGCTTGTCGTTTGTCTCCACGACGCGCTGCACGTCGTCCAGGGTCCAAGCCTTAAACTGGGGCAAACGGAGAACCTCCGCTATGTCCACAAAACCGTCTGCGGTCCAAAAAAAGAAAAAGAAAGCAGTGGCATCATTTGGCCAACCCGTTGCCACTATAACCCGTTGCCATAATGGTGACTAGCACCAACTTGTAAGCCGCTCAGAGACCCCTAGACAAGGGGTTCGAGCGGGATATAAAGTCGAATGATAAATAAATAAATAAATAAATAACTGTGCAACCGAAAGCCTGACTAAACCACACCAAGGCCTTCTCCTGATGCTCCACTCTAGCACTGATATTCTGAGGCTGACTGCCTCTGAATGTGGAGGTTCCCTTTTGCCACCATCAGACAGAATCACAGTATGAGCTGGCAGGGGCCAGACAGGCCGCCTAGTCCCACCCCCTGCTCAATGCAGGACCAGCCCTAGAGCATCCCTGACAAGGGTTCGTCCAGCCGCTGCTTAATAGAATCCCTTCTACCTTGCAGGCTGACTCTGTTGCTCAGAACGTTTTGTGCCACGGTTATCCTTTCAGATAACCTAGATAACTGCCAACCTAGCAGTTCGAAAGCAAGAAATTGCAAGTAGATAAACAGGCACCACTTCAGTGGGAAGGTAACAGCGTTCCGTGCGCCTTCGTGTTTAGTCATACCAGCCACATGACCACGGAAACGTCTTCGGACAGTGCTGGCTCTTTGGCTTTGAAAGGGAGATGAGCACCGCAACCCTAGAGTCGGATTCGACTGGCTTTCGAGCAAGGGAACCTTTACCTTTTATCCTTTCAGAACATTCCTGTGCTCTCTGTGCGTGCCACATCCATGTTGGACCGTCTGTGTGCTTATCAAGGGAGGAGCCTTTCTCCGGGGGAGGGGCTTGGACTGAGTTTGAGTGACAGCCCACATTCTCACCAAGCTGGGTCTGAAAGCAGCCGGCAACAAAGATACCAAATGTCCATGTTTAAATTTTTTTACAATGTTTATGCCCTGACCTGGAGAGGCCAGACTGGCCCAGATCTCAGAAGCTAAGCAGGGTGGGCTCTGGTTAGTCCTTGGATGGAAGATTACCCTGACCTGGACGGCCCAGGCTAGCCCGATCTCATCAGATCTTGGAAAGCTAAGCAGGGTTGGCCCTGGTGAGTGCTTGGATGGGAGGCCTCCAAGGAAGCCCAGGGCTGCTCCACAGAGGCAGGCCATGGCAAGCCTCCTCTGTTTGTCTCTTGCCTTGGAAACCCTATGGGGGTTGCCACAAATTGGCTGTGACCTGACAGCACTTTACACACACCTTGTTTATAGTCCGCTTTTCTCACTGACACGGTGTCAAAGCCAATACTGTCACTAAGATGGGACATCCAGTAACCCATGCAATAGGATAAGGATGCGGAAATTAAGACCGAGTGCCAACTTTTTTCTCCCCAGCTGGGACTCTGGGCCTCGCAAGCCAGGCAAAAATGCAACTGGTTGTCAGGACCCACAGCTAAGCAACAAAGTATCGATGACATTGTCTAACCATCTCATCCTTTGCCATCCCCGTCTTCTTTGGCCTTCAATCTTTCCCAGCATCAGGGTCTTCTCTAGTGAGTGCTCCCTTCTCATTTGGTGGCCAAAGTATTTGAGCTTCATTTTCATTATCTGGCCTTCCAGGGAACAGTCAGGGTTGATTTCTTTTAGGATTGACTGATTTGATCTTTTTGCAGTCCAAGGGACTCTCAAGAGTCTTCTCCAGCACCATAGTTCAAAAGAATCTATTCTTCGGCGCTCGGCCTTCCTTATAGTCCAACTCTCGCAGCCATACATGACTACTGGGAATACCATTGCTTTGACCATGCGGACTTTTGTTGGCTGGGAGATGTCTCTACTTTTTATCATACTGTTTAGGTTCGCCATTGCTTTCCTCCCAAGGAGCAGGTGTCTTTTAATTTCATGGCTGTAGTCACAGTCTGCGGTGATCTGGGATCCCAGGAACGTGAAGGAAGGTTTTACTTTTATTGAAAAGCCATAGATGCGATAACATGAACACTGTTAGGAATGGTGGGATACCTGTGCGCATAATAGGATATAGGGCATTCGTATGCGCCCCCCCCCAGCAATAACCAATTGTGTGTGTTCCCGCGTGTGGGATACTGTTGGACTCTCTAACGGTTGCGAAGCTGGGAACGGAGAAGCTCCCACGGACGATAGACACCACATTCTCCACCAGTACGACATCAAAGATAAGCGTTACAGCTCTGAAGCAATTAAGCGCATGGGAGGGAGTGCAAAGCAGATAGAAAACATCTCCACCTCATGGCAGCGTAGCTGACATCGGTAAGGTTTTCCCAGGCAGTGAGGGGATGAGACGGGGCAGAAACACTCACCAGGCCCCATATGTAACCCCAGCTTGTCTGCACCGTGGCGCAGGGCGTAAGAGAGGGCTTTTGAGAGGCGAACACCTGGATCCTGTAACAAAGTTTGGAAAGAAACAGCTGGTAAGGGATTAGACTGCAGAGGAGGAAAGCAGGGCTCTGCGACTGTAATACTTGCATACAAGGAGACATATGGGGAATGGTAGCCTGTCAGATAGAACCAAGAAATGCTGCATCTGCGGGAATGACACATTTCCCAGAAGCCTTTGTGGCACATTGTATCAGTTGACCCCTCCCATCTCTTCTTTGCAAACCAAACTGATTAAAAATCAGGAAGTCCTTGTTTGAATTTTACCTCCATCATGAATTCACTAGCTAGCTTTAGGATGGCCACTCACTCAGGTTCAATCCTCCCCGACCCCAAAATGGAGATAAAACTGCCATTCATAGGGTTGGTAACTCCAGCTTGGGAAACTCCTGGAAATTTGCAGGCAGTACCTTGGAAAGGGAGGGAGCCCAGTTTGGTGTAGTGGTTAAGTGTGTGCTCTAATCTGGGAGAACCGGGTTTGATTCTCCACTCCTCCACTTGCACCTGGCTGGATGACCTTGGGCAAGCCATTGTCCTGATAAGAGCAGTCCTTGAAAAAGAGCAGTCCTTGAAAGAGCTCTCTCAGCCCCACTTGCCTCACAGGACGTCTGTTGTGGGGAGGGGAAGGGAAAGGAGTTTGTAAGCCGCTCTGAGACTCCGAGTGAAGGGCGGGGTATAAATCCAATCTCTTCTTCTCTTCAGTGGGGTTGGGGGGGCATAGAATTTGCCCTCCCGAAGCCAGCCCCCCCCATTATGTCTTGTGTGGGCCATAGGCCCTTTTGCCTTCAGGGGCCCCTCCCACCATAGTAATATCAATATTAAATATAGTTTTTGATATAACTTTAAACACTTCAACATCTTTTTCTGTTTTAGGCAAAATTTAATGATTTTGTGGGCCCTAAACATTTCACTAAAACATTTTCAAAGTTCATTTTTCTCCTGATTTTAAAAGACATTAAAATATTTTCGTGAGCCCCTAAAAGTCTTGTGGACCCCAGGCACTGTGCCTTCTGGATAAGTCATCCCTGCCCATAGCTGCCATTCCCTTCAGGGGAACTCATCTCTGCAGTCTGGAGCTCAGTTGTAATTCTAGAACTCACCTTGAGATTAGAGAAGAGATTGGATTTATACCCTGCCCTTCACTACCCAAAGGAGTCTCAGAGCGGTTTACAATCTCCTTTCCCTTCCCCTCCCATCAACAGACACTCTGTGAAGTAGGCGGGGCTGAGAGAGCTCTCTTGAGAACTGCCCTTGAGAGAACCTCTGAAAGAACTTGTAACTAACCCAAGGTCACACCAGCAGCTGCATGTGGAGGAGTGGGGAATCAAACCCAGTTCTCCCAGATTAGAGTCCGTGCTCCTAACCTCGAAGCTGTTGAGTCTTGTGAGCAAAAATTCTACTCTGTGAGCCACTGGCATTAAAGTTGTAAGTGAACGATTTGGCTACTGCATAAATTAGTTTGCTCTGGAGCCGTCCTTCCTGAGCTAAGACAAAAATGTGTGAGCCGGAGGCTAAAAAACTGTGAGCTAGCACACACTAACTCAGCTTAGATGGAACACTGCAACAGACCCATCAAAATCAGTCATTCCCCACTCTCCAGGTTTTTTTATGCCCAAAGGGGATGAGGGTATAACCACCCAGATCCTACTTGGCTTTTTTTTTTAACCTTATGAATGAAACTGGATTTTTTCCCCTTTCACTGTTATATTAAAAGCTGACATTCCTGGCTGGCTGTGTACTCCTTTCCTGATCTATATTTCTGCACTTGCATAGCACCCTGGTGAACCACTTGGTTCCATTTTTGATATACAAAACATTAGCTTCTCTTCACCTCACACACAAATCCTGACCCCCTAAAAAGGCTCTTGTGTCTTTTACAGTTGCACAGAAGAGATCATTTAATCCAGTGTGGGCAAAACACTGAAGAAACTGCACACAGGAGAACTCTCTCCCGGAAGCCACACTTAGAGCAGCAAGAAGCTGTCAATCAGGCAATTTTTGGCAGACGAGATTGTGTTGTCCCAAATTCAGATCTGGCTAAGGACCCCCATGCAGGCTCGAAGCTTTGGCGGGAAGGTCTCTGACCTGATCTCGGCACCTCCTCCGGCTTGCCTGTTTTCCTGGTCTCTTTGAAGGGCCCCCAACACCTGATCCTCCTCCTGCCTCCATAATATGATTGCCACGACTGTGTGCAGAAACCCAAGGCTCAGCTGGAAATGAGACAGATATCGGCTCCCTGCCCCCCCCCCCTTCCCAGCTTTCCTCCCCGTCCTCCTGGGCCCACTCTACACAATACAGCCCCTTCCTCCCAGACTGCAAACGCTTTCAAAACATGGGCTGGAGAGAGAAAAGAAAATCCGATGCAATAATCGTCTATGATCGCGCTGTGCCACACAGGCTTCTGGGAGTTGTAGTTTTCTCGTTTCACGGTCACCCGCACATTTCTTTCTGCCTAGAACGGCATCTCGAGATGCCCGACGGACTTCCCTGTAAACGACAGAGAGTCGAAAGTGTTTCACAGTGCCCTGATGTGGATAGCCCAGGCAAGCCCGGTTTCCTCAGATATCGGAAGCTACGCAGGGCCTGGCCCTGGCAAGTACTTGGAAGGGCGACCTCCAAGGAATACCAAGGCTGGGAGGCAGAAGCAGACAATAGGAAGCCACGTCTCTGAAATGTCCAAGCCCCTCTAGGGGTCGCCAGAAGTCACCATGGCTCACAAGCGTGCACACACACACACACAAAGGAGAAAAAAGAAAAATAAAGTGTTTCACAAATCAGACTTTTTTTAGTAACCGGGTTTAGCCTTGGACTATGAGTACACCAATTTCAGATTTCTGTCTATTACAAAAGTACCTTAATATTTTCTGGTGCCCCCCCCCAATCACCCACCTTGTCCCCCCAGCTCTGGGGAAAAGGTGGCATATAACGACTCCACTTAAATAAAAAAGCAAGGAGAGCTTAGCAAACAAGAGTGTTCGGCATCTCCAGCAAACCATGCTCAGATGTTTATTCCCCAATCTATTATTTATTTATTATATGGCAGAGTGACACACAGGAAGCCTATAATAATATAAAATCTGTAACCAAGTTGACACAACAGGTATGCAGACCGATTGGACAATCCCCCCCAAATGCTAATGTCTAAATTTTCAATCCACCCAATCCCAGCTGGGGAGAGTTCAAAAAGCTCCATCACATCTCCCTGGAAAGCACGATGCTCACATTCTTGTGACAGATGGAAAACAGCTTGGCGGGCTGCACCACATTCGCATTTGGGTCCTTGGATTTTGCCCCATTTAAACAACAGTTCTGCACAGCTGGCCAAAGCCTGTTCATATTTTGTTAGTCACCTTCCATACTTCACATGGCAAGTCAAATCCTGGGGGCCTTTCCTTGCTGTGTATCAGGTTAGGGATATTGAGTGGAAGAAGAAGAGTTGGATTTATACCCCGTCCTTCACTCAAAGTCTCAGAGGAGCTTACAATCACCTTCCCTTCCTCTCCCCAGAACAGACACCCCATGAGTAGGTTGTTGTTGTTGTTGTTAAGTAGATTTCTGAATTGCCCAACCCTGAAGGAGGCTCTGGGCAATTTTCAGCTTTAAAACAGATAAAATACAATCAACATGATAAAATTATTACAATGCACTAATAAAACAACCAAACCAGATGGCGATCTACCCCTTTTTTGCCGGCTGCTGTGCAGCAGGGCAGGGAAGGGGACGCGGGGCCAAAAGTAAAAAAGGAGGGTGCCAGTTTTAGCCGTTGCTGTCCTCAACCAAAAGCCTGGTGCCGTGGAACATCTCTGCCTTACAGGCCCTGTGGAATTGCATCAGATCCCGCTGGGCCCTGATGTTATTCAGCAGGGAGTTCCACCAGGTCGGGGCCAGGACCGAAAAGACCCTGGCCCTGATCGAGGACAGCCGGACCTCCCTAGGGCCGGGGCTCACCAGTAAGTTGTTATCAGCTGATCTCAGCGCTCTTCTGGGGACATATTGGAGGAGGCGGTCCTGAAGGTACGTGGATCCCTGACCCCTCAAGGCCTTAAAAGTCAACACTAATACCTTGAACCTGACTTGGTACTCCACCGGTAACCAGTGTAGCTGGTGCAGCACAGGTTGTATATGTGTTGTCTGTGACCTTCCCGCCAGGACATGTACGGCTGCATTCTGGACCAGTTGGAGCTTCCGGGTCAGTCTCAAGGGCAGGCCAGCGTAGAGTGAGTTACAGCAGTTGAGTCTGGAGGTGACTGCTGCATGGGTTACTGTGGCCAGGTCAGGGGGCAACAGGAAAGGGGCCAGCAGCCGTGCCTGGTGTAGGTAGGGCTGAGAGCTCTGAGAGAACTGCTCTGAGAGAACCGTGAATGACCCAAGGTCACCCAGCTGGCTGCATGAGGAGGAGGGGGGAGGGGGAGGAGGAGGAGAAGAAGATTTATATCCCGCCCTTCACTACCCGAAGGAGTCTCAGAGTGGCTCCCAGTCTCCTTTCCCTTTTCCTCCCCACAACAGACACCCTGTGAGGTAGGTGGGGCTGAGGGAGCTCTGAGATAACTGCTCTTGAGAGAACAGCTCTGAGAGAACTTGCGACTGACCCAAGGACACACCAGCAACTGCATGTGGATTGCGGAATCAAACCTGGTTCTCCCAGATTAGAGTCCATGCTCCTAACCACTACACCAAACTGGCTCTCAATTGCCCAAAGCAGTTGCAGTGCCAGACTTTAGAGCATGCACACATATATATTTGATACAAAAAGATATACCCTGAGTTTCTCCCCCATGAATGAATCGCTAATGAAGGACCCCCTCCGATCAGGAGTTAATATTAGTTTGTTTGGGAGCAACGCTTATACATCTCCCTTTGACAGAACAGCACGTTTCAAATTACTGATTGATAAGCACAAAGCTAGGTTTCAACAGTACGTGGATAGAGAACTGCCAGAAGTACAACTAGAGATCAAATTGCCAACATTTGCTGGATTATGGAGAAAGCAAGAGAGTACCAGAGAAACATCTACTTCTGCTTCATTGACTATGCTAAAGCCTTTGACTGTGTGGATCACAACAAACTATGGCAGGTCCTTAAAGAGATGGGAGTACCAGACCACCTCACATGTCTCTTGAAAAACCTGTATAAGGGTCAAGAAGTGACACTTAGAACCAGATATGGAACAACTGATTGGTTTAGCATAGGAAAAGGAGTACGACAAGGATGTATATTGTCGCCTTGCTTATTTAATATTTACCCAGATGTATATGTATGTTATGGTTTTAACTTACCTATTAAACTGTATTAACTTGTATCGATTTTTTCTATGCCAATGTGGAAGTAGTGACAGACTTCACGTTCCTTGGATCCCAGATCACTGCAGACTGTGACAGCAGCCATGAAATTAAAAGATGCCTGCTCCTTGGGAGGAAAGCGATGGCAAACCTAAACAGCATGATAAAAAGTAGAGATATCACCCTGCCAACAAAAGTCCGCATGGTCAAAGCAATGGTATTCCCAGTAGTCATGTATGGCTGCGAGAGTTGGACTATAAGGAAGGCCGAGTGCCGAAGAATAGATTCTTTTGAACTATGGTGCTGGAGAAGACTCTTGAGAGTCCCTTGGACTGCAAGAAGATCAAATCAGTCAATCCTAAAAGAAATCAACCCTGACTGTTCTCTGGAAGGCCAGATAATGAAACTGAAGCTCAAATACTTTGGCCACCAAATGAGAAGGGAGCACTCACTGGGAAAGACTGAAGGTCAAAGAAGATGGGGACTGCAAAGGATGAGATGATTAGACAGTGTCATAGATGCAACGAACATGAAATTGAGCACACTTCAGAGGACGGCGGAAGACCGGAAGGCCTGGCGTGATCTGGTCCATGGGGTCCCGGAGAGTCGGACTCGACTGTGCGACTGAACAACAACAAAAAATTCAAAGTCCTGGCGAGCTGCTACTCTTTGCGCTGGAGTTGTTGCGCTGCATGACCACTAAGTGGCGCTGTCTGCCTTATTTTTGCACTTTTCAAAGTCAGGTTGGGTTTGCGTAAAGCGCTTCCTGGGCCCAGACTTGGGAAGGTCATTTCAAGAGCGAAGCGAGTCGCGACTAGGCGGGGGAGCTGGGGGGGGGTGGTGGTGCCTGAAATACCAAGGAGCAGGAGATGGGCTGCGCTGGCAGTTGGGACGGGGAAATTGCAGCAATTTAAGGAGCGGAGGAGTCTGGAAACGTAAATGCCAGACAGTGCCTATTAATGGCCGTGGGGAAAATAAATAACCTTCCACGGGTTCTTTCTCTGCCCTTCCCGTGCTGTCTGTTGAAATGTCGATTGTCATCTCCTTGGGGGCAGGGGCCTACTTAAAATGCGCAGACGTTAAGAAATTCGGAAAATCCCAGCTGGATCAGACCAAAGGTCCGGCTAGGCCAACTAAAGGAGCTGCGGTGGCTCAAGTGGTTAAGACGCTGAACTGCAGGCTGTGGAAGGTCGGTAGTTCAACAGGTCAAGACCCGAGTGTGCCCCATGACGGAGTGAGCTCCCGTCTCTGGTTCCAGCTCCTGCCAACCTAGCAGTTCGAAAGCAAGACATTGCAAGTAGATAAATAGGTACCACTTTGGTGGGAAGGTAACACTGTTCCGTGCGCCTTGGTGTTTAGTCATGCCGGCCACATGACCACGGAAATGTCTGCAGACAACGCTGGCTCTTTGGCTTTGAAACGGAGATGAGCACTGCAACCCTAGAGTCAGATTCGACTGGCTTTTGAGCAAGGAAACCTTTACCTTTAGCCCAACTAACCCATTTTCACAAATGCTCCCCCTTCCAAAGCCTACATGCCTAGACAGGAAGACAGCATGTTGTTGCCCCCTCCCAGCCACTGTTACAGGAAGGTACACTACTTCTGACCATGGAGGTTCCATTTAGCCATCCTGCCATTCGTAGGCCTACGCTCCATGACTTTGTCTATGCGTTAAATGCCTTCAGGTCATTTCCAACTTACAGCAACCCTATGAATTGAGAGAGTGGCGCTTGGGCAGCGGGTTTCACCAGGTTACCCTCTCGTATGCGACGTCCCCCAGGGGGTGATCCTATGTATTTTAACATCTACATGCGTCCTCTTGCCCATCTGGTCTGGAGGTTTGGGCTGTGTTGTTGTAAGTACGCTGATGACACCCAGCTGTATCTGTTGATGGACTCTGGAGGCCAGGGGTCATTTCCTGCAGGAGCGCACAGGAGCTCCGGGAGTAATGAGCCCAGGGGGCGGGTACACGCAACAAGCCCACCCCCTGCTCCCAGCAGCTCTCAGTCAGAGCAAGAAGCAGCCCGGTAAGTTGGAGCCCCGCCCGCCC